GGGTGGGGGTCGGCGGGGCAGCTACGGTAATTTCAGTTTTTAATGGGAGACGTTTGATCTGCTGGCGTGGCGGACAGAGAAAGAGAGAGATGTCACCAACGTTTCCTAACACTATTTAATTACTAATTAAGATGATATAACTTATTGGGTAATTATTCAATTAAAAATGGATAAAGTATATTATTAGGAATATTGAATATGAAAAAGGTTTATTTTTGTGTCTCCTAAGTTAACGTGGCACTAGGTAGCAAATTCATAACGATCAAGAGTTGAGATTTCTTTTTAATTGTTCAAAATGATATTAATGGTATAAAGAATGAAGCAATTGTCATACTTTCATTCTAAAAAAGAAAAGACATAAGATGATAATATAGGATGGAATTGACTTTGACGTTAACTAGAAATTATTGTCTCTCTCTTTTTCTACACTTTTCCTGTCGTTGCCAATTCCTTTTTTCCATGTATTATATAAGTTTTTGATAAAAAGATTCTAATTATGGCTAAAAAAAATCTTGCTAAAAGTATTTTTTTTTCTTTAAAATTAAGGTGTTTGGCCAAACTTTTAGAAGAAAAAAGTATTTTTGAATATAAGCATAAGTTGTTTTTGAGAAGTTGAAAATAATAGATCTCCTCAAAGATATATTTGAAAAAATATACTTAGAAGTACTTTTTAAAAGTTTAGTCAAATACTAATTATTGCTCAAAAATAATTTTTAAGTTGATTTTAGAATTTTGACCAAACATGCTATAAAAATAGTAGTATTATATTTTAGAGTTATGTATTATTCTCATTGATGTGCTTGAGGACTCAACAAAATATACGGGATTTAATAATGCAAGTCAATATAGTTGTAATTTTGCATAAATATGTGGCAAGTATTCTGCAAATAAATATTTTTGCATATAATTCTATGATTTTTATTAAGCTTCAAATAATGCTTACATGCATGACGTATCTGTTTAGATGGCTACTTTCATTGAATTTGCATTTGACGATTTATGATGATGTGTATGACACAGATCTAATCTTTTTTAAAACAATAATTTTCTCATTGATAAGATCAGACTTTTCACTCTTATCTGTCCAAACCAAAATGGATTACTCCTAATTCTTTTGGATTTTCCTTTTCTCCTTTAGGGTGGTGGTTTTTTTGGGGGGTGGGGTGGGGT